ATCGTGATTATCTTCTTACATATCTTTAAATCTTGTTAAGGATGGAGATTATTCTAAGGAAGCATAAAGTTTTTGATGTTTATCGTCTAAAAGTATCAAGCTGACAACAAAAAAAATGGATATTCTAAGAAGGAATTATTAAGAATTTTAAATTAATGATTATTAAAAATAAAATTTTATTCAGAAACAAACTTCACGTATTCTTTTATATATTTCCAAGTGGGACATCGTTGTTTCTTATTTTCTCGTTACTTTACTTTTAATTTAGTATTCCGGTAACGAGACTCCGTGGTTTAAGCTGAATGTATATGTACAAAAACTTTTATCCGGAATAAAATAGTGGAAAAGCGTAGGATTAGGGTGACCCGCACAATTTCCATGAAATTCCCTCTAATTTTCTTTCCCTCTTTCTTTCCACTTTCTCTATCTTTTTTAACATTAGCATCAAACGATTTGTAAGTCTCACATTTTTTGAAATTTGTTTATCACTTTACCATCTCATCTTCTTAATATACCAAAGTAACGTAACGATGAAATTTCCAAGTTTAAATGTAAAATTCACGATACATTCTCTTCTCGCACACAAAAAATTTTCAACGATAAATGATGTAATTAGCTTCGAACTTATCGTTGAATTAACATGCTTGGAATGGAAAAGGAATGGGAATGAAATTGATGTACTACGTAATTCTATGGAAGTTTAACGAGAATTCGATTCGAAGATGGATGGTTGACAGATTTCTCGTGCTTTGTCAGAGCAAGTTTGGCTTTCGATTATCGCGTTTGTCAGCGACTGGTTCGCAGGAAAGGTATACACGGTTCATCGAATCGGGATGGGGACACGCCGTTGAAATGAATTCTTTATCGATGCTTCTTATCGATAGAATTATCAGAGTTCGTTCTTGCGAGACCTTTTCAACCATAAGGTCGTAGGAATAGAATTTCCAGCCTCGCTATTGTTGAAAATAACGTTATTGATCGAATTGATGATCTTAATCAATACTTATCGTTCACTGAATCTTAGAGAAAAGGATATTATCATATAAAATTCTCGTTGAATTTCCATTTATATTTAAATACGTATAATACTTTCATGTACAGAAAGATAATTCTTTCATGTATGAAATTTTTTCGTAAGATAAAATTAATTTCTCGTATTCGTTGGAAATCCGGGTAGGATATAAATTTAAACGAAATCTCGAACGTATAATATATAAATATATATACACCCAAAGATCTTTTGAATTGTATAAACTTGTTTAATCTATTTACATTCGTTTTTTAAATCGTGCAACGAAGTGATAAATATAAAATGGAGGAAGAGAATATCCGAAACGAATGGATAAGGATAATAGAAAGACGAGTCAATAATTATTCGAAATATATTTAGAAAATTTATGCATCTTTATATTAATGTAGCCCTCTTGAATTTTAATGCATTTAATTGATCCATGCAAATATTTTATCATTATATTCGTTATTTAACAAGGATTAATTATTAATTTTATAAATTTATATCTTTTATAGAAATTATTAACAATCTATGTACAGTAGTATACAAAAATGATTACGCAAAGATAATTTTAGATACTTGTTATATTTGAATAGAAACAAAAATATGAATCGGATTACAAAATCAATTTCTCTTTTATAGAATTAAATTCTCACTCAATTCATCAAATATACGTACAAATATTTTTATACGCGTTGCAAATAATCATCGACTCGTCTCTCAAAAAAATATCAAACAATTTTTCAAACTTATCACTCTCAGCAGCAATAAATATTCCATTCTGTCCCTATCTCCGAATAACTATCGAGCACATTCGTTTCGCTAGCATTGCACGTGTAATAATTCGTAAGCGTTCAAATTTTCGTTTGTGCACAGCATCGGTAATACCCGCGCGCGTTTCACACCGAGTGTGTCGCGCGTCAGAAAAATGTCACAGAAAGAATAATCGCATCGATTTATACGAATATCCCCGAACGATACACGCGCCTGTAATTATCGTTCAGCCCCCCCGTGTTATCTGTCCGACACGTCGAACGATAATAAGTGCGTGCGCCAAAAAATCGGAGATAATGCGTGTATCTGACACATCGTGCCACGATATACCCTGACTTAACAGGCGATTATCGTTATTAACCCGGCTTTATTGGCAACCCATGCTCCCCGAGGATCGTTTTTACTTCCCCCCCTCTGCCCTTCGCGCCCTCCTTTGGCCTTTTTGCTCGTCCAGATTATTGACAATCGAATAATTTTGGTAACAGGTATTGTTACCAAGCCCAAAAAGTATTCAATCATTCTTGAAATAATTCTTTTTTTTTTTTTTTTAATTAAAAACAACGAGCTATTCGATATCATTTCCTGATCAATTTTGCTGTATCGTGGCGCGAATCGAAGTATACGAATTAAAATTATTTTCATACAGATATGTTCAAAGATGTGTAATTATAGGGATACTTATAAAATTGGTTTTTTTTGTATTACTTCAGATTTTACTACGATATTTTCACGATATCACTTCGAATACAGCAGTATACAGCAAAATATCATCATTCATCTGAAAAAAAAGGAATAAACGATGAAAAATATCAACCTTTTTCATGCAAATTTGGTGGCGAATAATTATGATAAGCATGATTAATTGCCCGTGCACCGAGTTCAAGTTGAAGGAAGAAATAATTACTTCCGATTTCCAGGGGCAATAATTCAGCCGCAAACGACGCGTAAACTGTATAAGTTTCTTCGTGGAACAGTTGAGAAACAAAAAGAAATCCGTTTACGAAATGTTTCGATTCGGTATAAATATTAATGTATTTAAAAATACATCATCTTTTTCGCGAATTCTTCGCGCACGAACTAATAACAAGCGTTCTTCGAATCTTATCTACGGCTAGAAACATTGTTACGAAAGCGGAATCGTGAAATTTGCGATGTTACCACCTCGTGGAATTGTGAAATAGGAGTTATAAGAGGTATAAGAGTTGAAGCGAAGAGGAAGTTAAAGGTTCGAGTTGAAATGTTTCCTGAAATGTTGAAAGTTTATTTGGATGTATTAGTGGTGATTGAAGTTAGAGTTTTGAATCGTAATGATCTTGCATGGAAAATATTCTCGATTTTTTTCTCGAAATCGAAGATAATATGTTAATGGAAATAAGATAGAAGATTAAATTTCGATACGCGTTAACAAGAAATCGGAGATCATAGAAAATTTTAGACAGATTTTTAAATTTTGAACAGATTTTCGATTTTTCATATTCTCTGATATTGATTTTTGTTAATTTCCTTCTTTGTTAATTTATTATCCAATTTTTAGATAATTGTCTTGTTCCATTGATAATGTTTGAATATATTTAACATAAATATTTAACATAAAATCGTTCGAATGAAAAGAACTTTTCCGTTCTTAATCGGTCGTGTTCAAACGGAATTCGATTCGTATCGCAAAATTTTAACGCGCAACTTCATTTATCAAAATTCTGTGTAACGAGAAGCGGGTTTGGCAGCTGCTTCAATTTGCCGAAACTTCAATTCCAGGCCGTGCGTTTGGCATTCGATCTATACTGAATTTTATGCCTCGAAATATTCGCAACCGATCCAAAAAATCTCGAGGTAATCAGTTTCGCGCCGCTAATAAATCAGGAAAATACTTTAGGAGAATTGTCTTTCCTCTCTGCGTTCATCTTTGTGGTCATTCTATGGCTCTAGATTGTGGTTTACTACAAGGTAGTTGGATATCTAGATTTAGAGATCGGGTTTAAATGGAGATTAAGTATACTTGTAGCAAGAGATCCTGTGAGGGGTATTTAATGAACGCTTTTGTATTTTAAGCGTAAGAATGTCTCATTTTTATTAGAATGTTGCATTCAAACAATTCGATTTTTCTAAAATATATGTATAAGGATGATGTAGTTTTGAAAAATTACGAAAATTAATAAACTTTTATTGCATATAATTTATTTGTTTAAAACAAAAAGCCACACGCGATAATATCACGAAAATGAGAAATTTTAAATAAAATCGTCACATATTAAATTTGTTTGTTACGATCAAAATTTTTCATGCATCAAAATGGTTATCTTTCTTTTTTTTTTAAATTCTTTACAAATTTTTCCATCGAAATATTCTATCTATTAATTTTTCTTTGTCTAAGATTTCTTTATTTCCAGAAAATATAACCACTTTCAAACTTTCATAATGTTTCATACCAACTTTTATATACGGTGATATACATCTAGTTTGTATATCTTTTACGATGAAATTACTCGAATTAAAACTTAATGCGTGAATATCCTGTAACGTCGGTTTCATCGACACGCGAAATTTGAAGCGGACCATTTCCAGGGCCTTTGTTAAGCGGATTGTTAAGCGGATAATTAACGCGGCTCTGACGAAAATCCAACCGGTTTATCCGCCGATAAAATCTCAATTAGAGATCGCGACGGAGTATATGGAAGGCAAGGTGTTCGCGAATTGACGTGAAAGCGGACAAATGGTCGGTGAAAACAAGAGACGAGGGTTGGAAAAGGGCAATTATACCATGAGCGCATTGGTTAATGGCGCGGTCGTGGCAATTTAAGTCTTCATGTGAAGATACTGCGTGCAATCTTCAAGTTTATCTCACCAATGTTGTTCCAAGATACCATTTTCTTCGTGCACGATTCCCGAGGATACGATATACGGTATTTTCGAGACTGATTGATCGAATCGTCGCCCAATCCAAATGTTCAAATATTCCATTCTGTCCTTGGTACTTTTTGTATCTGGAAAATTGTTAAAGAGCGATGGAGGAAATTGTTTTTCTCTTGATTGTTCTCTTTTAAAAGAACAAAGAATGACAGAAGAATCGTGCGATAAAATATGACTGGTCACGAAAGAAATAAACGTGCAATTATTATTTCTATCTCAAGTTAATCTAAGCAATCTTTCATAGGAGAAACAATTCAAGCACTTTGAATCATTATCACATTTCATTTACAATTATTCACGCGAGAAGAAATCGGTGATTGTACAAAATTCTCCATTAAATGCCGTTTAGACGAATGCTAAGATTCGAAGAGTGCAATTTCTTTCGTTTTAACGGATTGGAATGGGAATAATCGATCAGTAAACGGTAAATTGCGATCACGTTTGCTCGTCGACCGTGCGGCTCAGTGTACACGGTCGCTAGCAGCTCATAGGACACGCCAGCGACTATAATTGAGATTTTATCGGGCCGTTAAACGCTGCGAAGTTCCTGTGCAACACGTGCCAAAGTTTGCACACTGGCCATAGGCCGCAAGAGTTGTCGCGCCTCGATGCTTCTTTAAACGATCCACCCGAAAATTCTCCCTTGCCTGTTTTGCAATCGATCTTTCTAAAAAATTATCCTTGTTGCAGATTAGTGGACGCGAGAGATTAGTTCCACGGCGAGATACGCGATGAATGCCACGCCAGGATTCCCCAGGCAACGGCGAAAGATCGGTGAGTTTTTGAAATGATTTTGATTTTTCAATTATTTTGAGAGTCTCTTGATAATTTAATGAATATTACGCAAATATTGTTAGTTGAGAAGTTATAAATCTTTAGATCTTTTACATTGATATCTACTATTGATTCGTTCGTTTCTTTTTTGTTATATTTTTGTATATGTTAGAAAAGAGAAGTTCTTTGGAACTTTCGTAACAATTTCGTGAGAATGTTAGAGAATTTTTTTACTTTAATTTATATTTATTTATTCGTTATTAGTGATTTTATAGTACTCGAAATTTATAGGATTCGGTATATTTTAATTAAGAAACAGGATGATAGGATGCTAAATGTATTGCAGTTTTTTTCTTCTTTTTCTTTAAGCAAAAATTAATCGCATGTGTCATGGAAAGCTATCGATTTCCCGCGCGATTTCACTGAGTAATTAAATATTTCCCTGAAATTAGTCCGACTTTTATAAATAACGATCCTTCTTTCCTTGCTAAATTAGACGTTAAAACGATTATTCGAATTAACGAAATGTAATTCAATAAATAATTCAATAAAGAAGAAAAAATTATCTTCAATTATAGTTTCTTTTCGATATTATCATTTATTGATATTTGTCAATCATTATTAATAGAATTTCTCGTTTTATTTCTTCACATATACAATATGAATTTCAAAATATTATCTCCCAATATTTATCTTCGAATCGCCGATGGATCCAAATCGCTATATATTTGAATTATAAATATATATTACATAATTACATCGTTAGAAATATAGATCAAAAGCGAGTGAGGATGATTCAATTATGAATTCTGATTAAGAATTCTAAAAATTTCGTATTTTTTTAGTCCAACAAATATGTGAAAGCATCAATTTCGTTTTACAATTAAAATAATAATTCATCTTTGTCTTATATCTGTCACCTATACAAATTCTTCTTCGTCTCAAACTCTCAAAGCTTTGATTTCAAAAAAAAACGATAAATAATTCTACAATCATGACAATTCCGTCGATCGCAATATAAAAATCAAAGCACCGATTAAGAACCATCATCAGAACACCAAAAGTTTCGCCAAAATCATGGAATACCTTTAAACTTTCGATGGATGTTGCACAAAATATTTAAATACTTCCGTTTCCAACGACTCTCTCGAAACGATCCAATCGCTCGTAAAGAACTGGTCGCGAATTCGCGTCACGAGTCACGTGCACGCGTCTTGATTCTTAATTCTTAAGGTCTCTTACGATTAAACACACCTGGTCTACTCCGACCCAACAAAAATCAGAGCACAAAATATCGAGCGTATGGAACAAGAAAAGGCACTTGGAAGACACGCCTGCTACGAACGACTCCCCTTGGCTACGCTCTTAACACGTTAGTTGGTGGTAATGCACCACCTCGTCACGCAACACGCTCGTTCCACGGGAGAATTCGTCGAAATTTCAGCGCGAAATTTTTGCCGCGCATCATTAGATGGCTCCCCGTTTTTGCAATTTTGCTAGAATTTCAAGTGGGTCAAGTGGAAATTGCTGTTGGATTATTATTTGTCAATCTACGTCTTTTTTTATCTGGGGCGTGTGGTGTTCATCTTGTTTATCCTGCTCACGATGAAATTGTAATTGTTTCGTAGTTGAATTTGTGTTTTTAGAGGAGAATGATGAACGGAATTAGGAGAGAGAAAATTGGAATAGTTCGGTAATCAAATTTCTTGAGTGATGATTCTTCAATTTCAGGAAAATTTCATATGCACAATTCTGCGATTATTCTAAAGGATCTTTCAGAAGAGATAATGTCAAATACGACATATTAAAAAATATCAATCGAAGATCGTGATATAAATAACAATGAATCGGTATATATTTCGATGTATAGATACCGAATTAAAAAAACGTAAGTTTCTATGATTTTCCAAAGAAAAATTTCAAATTTGGATAACAACGAATCGATAGTGCATAGATATAAAAATAATTTATTTAAAATTGTCAAAATCTTCATTCGATTTTAATTAAAGAAAATTATTTTTCTAAAATAACGCTAGTTCGAACTGTCAAGTTCAGTCTCGGGTGAACGCAATTATATACTTTTCAAAACAAAGAAGGTTCGGTTAAACAATCCCACGTGATGGATTCACGAAAAGTTGTTTCGAAGTGGATCCACGAATTTCAATATTCCTTATTCCGCCAACATTACGTTCCATATCCTGGCCCATACAACTTTTAAAAGCCAGGCTTTCCCGCATACTCGTCCCTTCGAATCGCTTTCCTTATTGATAAACTCGTCGAAACTACCTACGTAGAAACTTTTCGATTCCTCTTCCTACGGGAACGTGGCAAAATAAGGTCTCGAATCGAAACTATCCGTAAACAGTGACCGAAAAGGAACTGAGTTTCGATCGTGGCGGCGGTGAAAATGGTAAAGTGTCGCGCGCAGTTGGAGGGATGTTGGTGCTCTCGAGGAATTCCGGTTTCGTTTCGAGGAACATATGCATACTTGCATAAGCAGCGGACGTGTTTAGTCTCTTCTTCGATCGAAAGCCTCGATAATATCCAAGTGTTTCTGAATCCAGTGTAAATATTTGCCGTGATTCGTGTCGAGGAAAATGGAAAAATACATCGCGTGTTTGTTGCGAAGTAAACCATGAATTTGAATAGAAGGGTAATTGATTTAATTGAGTTCAACGCGAATTTCTAACTCGTGTCGTTCAGAGAGAGAGAGAGAGAGAGAGGAATATTTTGATTATATTTTATTTCACGCACTGCCATAAAAAAAGAAATCAAAAGCGTAGCAAATAATAGTACTAAATAATAAACGATATCCATTATGAAAGAATTGAGGTATCACACGTATATGATGTGTTGTAATAAACACGTTAACGGATTAAACTAATGAGAAAAGATGATTTTGAGTGGAAATGATAGAGCATATTGTTGCGAAGGGAGAAAAAGTAATGAATTTATAACGATTAGAGGTAAAAATGAATTAACCTTTGATTATTATTATTATTATTATTATCATTATTTTATAAATTCTTACAAATCCTTATATTTCTGTACGAATATACACGAAGCTATGACACGAAATTATGCTTGATTGATTGGAACAACATGGTCGACTGTAATCTGAAACGAGAGTGAGGATCGCAAATTTGTGTAGCCCTCAGGGTCGAGCTTTGTTATCCACTTCACCATCCTAACTCGAGATACCAAACTCGGATCCCAACTTTCCATAATTAACCAAGCGTATCGTTCAAAAAAATCCTCATCCCCTTTTACGAATCTACTCTCCATCCACCTCCCTGAAAAGAACAATTATCACCAATTATCATACTTTTCAAAGTATAATATATCGTCTTTACGTAACGTTGTGCTACAAAATTCAAAGAAGGCGTAATGAAATTCAAATATTCATCCAGAGTCGACAAAATGGCCCGCGAATCCATTAGTTAAGCAAGAATTTTCTAGTCGCGCCGTGTTTAATCGTCGAGACACGGGGAATCAGGATGGAAACTCTTGGGAGTGGAGCGGGGGTGAAAAGTTTCGAGTAGAAATCTAGGGGTTATTCCCTTATCGGAGAAGGAAATGTAATTTCTCGTAAATAAATATTAGCAGACGAGGTCGCTTCTCTCTCTCTCTCTCTTCCTTTTTTTCTCCCCTTTCTTCTTTCTCGGTTTTGATACCGGCGCTCGATCAACGCAAGATTGAACGTCGCGTCGCTCGGAAATATGGTGGAATAATCGCGGTGAATTCAATTGAAAAGTTCCATTATCAGCGCGAGAAACGGTGGCGGGAGTACTACCCACTTCCGTTAACAAGCGGCTCGGCCACGATTGCGCGCGTAATTGGTGGCTGAGAAAGACGGGCCCGGCTTTTTGAGGCGACTAATTTGTCCGATCGGTTGACAAACTCGTTAAAGAAGGGCGAGGCAGCACGAGAACTTCTTACTTGGATGTACAACACCGCTGGTTGAACACGTTGTTCGCCTCGATGCCGAGTTTCCGGCTTGCATCGAGCGCAATCGATAGGGCGAGTCGAGATCCTGTTGTGGTGGTATCTAAGAAGGGGGGAGGGTGAATGTAAAGAGAAGATGGATAAGAGCGAGGAGGATAAGATTTCTATAGGAATATAATGGAATTTAGATGATGTGGAAAATATTTTGAACTTTTTTTTTTTCTTTCAAATAAATAATGGAGATATAATATGCATCAGCGATGAATAATGTCCAATGATAAGACGATGAACGATTTGAAAAAAGAAGAAAGGTAATTGAAATTGTTGACCGTAGGGTAGAAGTAAAAAATTCAAGGGTGAACAAGCGCCAAGACTTGAATCGCCAATGATCCAATTCCCTTGCGGAGAATCGGTTCCAAGAAAATCTGGGAAATCTATTCTCTCGAACAGCCGCATGATCGACAACGTGAAAACAACGTGGCGGTAATCGTGGTATTTACGATGAAATATTCCGAGAAAAAGATATAGAAAATGGTGGACGAGAAGTGGAACATATGAATACCGATGGAGGGTGAACTGGCTCGATTTCAGACACTGTAGTTATATGCCACAATTGTCGGGTTTTCCATCCTTTGGCAATGCTTTCGACTTCCCAGAAGGATACGCCTTTTTCGTGTCTGGCCATGGTTGGACTTAATTCACTGCTCGTCCGCGCAGTTGCACGGACGTATAATTCGCCTTCGTGGACGAGGCACGCCTTTTTGAGATTAATATCGAACGGTCTTTCGCGACGTTGCACTGTTTATACGTCCCTTATAATTACACGAGTTCCATCCTAATTACCATCACCGGTTATCGAACTTTGCGTCGCACGAAGAAAAGCGAAGAGAAAACTTGGTTTTCCTCTAATTCACGGGAATTTGTTCTTTGCGAGAACGTTGAACAATTTTCTCTCGTTGAATTTCTACGAGTATGAGGTATGATCGGAGAGGAAAAAAGATCTAGAGAGATTTCACCTTTTTCGCGTTGGTGCTATAATTCTACTGTTTCTGCCA